AAAATAAAAGAAAAAAAGAATAAAAAAATAAAATGACTTATTTTAAACACTATTATTCTAAGTGAGAGCTTTCTTTTGTTATTTTTTATTTTATTTTTCCAGTTTCACTTAATAAGCATTCAGGATTTCCAAATGTATCAGACCTCTTTCAGTTAGCATAAACAAGGCCAGGAAAGTTAAGAGGTACAAAAACAAACACTGATGAGAAGTAGCAGTGAAAGAAAGTAGTATCAGAGAGGATACAACATCAACCTCAAGATCAGTTTATACAAAAATATACTCATTCACATGTAAGTGACACATTATTTGACATTCTTATTACTTAATCCACTGTTCTACTATCTATCCTTCCAATTAGGATGGCCTCTAAATTTGTAGGACTTATGACAAATATATCCACTTAAGCTGAGCTTAGTATTTTGTATTAGCCTGCAAATAAAGATGGCATCTCCTACATCTAACAGAAAGATCAGTCTATAATCAGCTATAAATTTGCAATATTTTCAGGATATGTTGAAAATTCATTTATGATTATTAGCTTATTTTCTGGCTCTTAATGAGGAGCAGAACTTCAATTGCAGGAGTTGGGTTTTTTGTTTGCTTGTTTGTCTGTTTTGGGACAGGCTGCCTTGAACTCATTATGTGTAGCCCAAGCTGACCTCAAACTTGCAGTGATCCTCCTGCCTCAGCCTCTTGAGTGCTGGAATCACAGGTATGTGCCACCATACCCAACAAGAGTCATACATTTTTGATCCAAATTTTACAGGTCAAATCTATTCCTCCAATTTGATATAAAAGTTCTCCATTTAATATATGATTGCCCATTATTTCAAGACATTTAATGAAACAAAAGAATTAGGATAATCCCCGAAAATATTACTGAATTATTAGAAAAGTATTAAAAATTCAGGTCATTTCCATAGTAATTCCACAAATGACCAAGTAAAATCACATTTAATAACATTTCTAGAGCTTAAAAAAGTTATAACTTAAGCCATGAGTCTAAGCATAATTTTAAAAATGATCAGCCAAATAAACATATTCAAGTAAAATACAGCAACAGACCGACAAAAACAAAATTACATTGGAGAAAAGAATATACAAAGTTCCTAGAGTTTATCTCCAGGAATCTCCATTCAGATGTTTAATTTTATTGTCTTCTAATCTCCCCACCAAACCAACTCTTCTCATAAAACTTATCTCAGTATGCAACAGCCCTATCTTTCAGAGCTAAAGACAAAAATTTTAGTGTCCTTTACATGTCTATCTATGCAGAAATCAACAATCTCTCACCAAGGCCCCCATGTCCACTCTGATCCAAGCTCTATCATCTCTGGGATGGATTGTACCACCATCCCAGGACCATATCACTGTACCTGTTCCTGCCCAATCCTCCATCTAACTACCAGTGACCCTTTTAAAAAATGATTCCATTTACATCCTTTTTCACTCAAAAGCAATGACTCTCAAACAGACTTACAGTAGGTCCTTACACAATTCAGTCTTCCACCCCACTAACCTGTCTAATGATTCTTCTACAACTATTATTCTTCTCACTCCTCCACAGCCAAATTATCCTCCCTGCTGTCCTCAAACACGCCCAGTGCACTCCTGTCTCTGGGCTCTTGCAAGTGCCTTAACTTCTGTTACACACCCTTCCCCCAGAGAGGTGCATGGGTTACCCCACTTCATTCCAGACTTGGCTCAAATTTCATTTTCTACAACAGGCCTTTTCTGGCTACCTCTAATTAAAACTGCCACTGGCTGCCAGTTTCCTCTCTTCCCACCTCCCCTCCCTTTTTCTCAATAGTTCTTAACACGTCATCTGACAGCATACATTTTACGTGTTTTTTACTTAAAGTCTCCCACTAGAATATAAGCAATACGAAGAAGGGATATTGGGCAGAGGACATAGCTCAGGTCTAAGCGTCTGCCTGCCAAGTGCAAGGACCAGGGTTCAATCCTCAGTACCACATGCCTGCTGCCCCTGTGTGGAGACGGCCACTGAAAGTGGACATGGTGGTGCACACTTGTAATTTCAGTGCTGAGGAAGCTAAGACAGGAGACTCACTATGAGTCTGAGCTGTGTAGCGAGACCTGCACCAAATAAATAAATAAATAAACAATAAATAAAATTTTTAAAAAGGGAGGGGGGATATTTCCCTATTTAGATAAATGTCTGCCAGCCAGGATCCTAGCACTGTGGCAGGCTAAAGCAGGACTGTGAGGACTCTGGGTTCAATCCCAAGTATCAAAGAAAAGAAGTGTCTGGCACACAACAGAAATCCAATTAAGTGTTTATGAAATGCATATATGATACATAAAACGTCACAGTTTACAAAGTATTTTCACATAAATTACAGTAACTCATTTACTCTTTGTGTTCTCTCCTGCAATTCTACCATTGTTGCAGAACCAATACAAATAATAGCAAAAGCTATCTAAAGCAAGTTGCTAGCCACAGTGTTATCTACAAGGCTCTTTTAAACAGATACTTCATATTAATTAACTACATTTATAATAAGAAAACCATAGAGTCAGTATCTTTATTATCTTAAGGTTTATGGGCGCAGAACTTTAAAGTAATATGGGGCCGGGGAGATAGCTCAGTAGAATAAGAGCTTGCCTGGCAAGCGCAGAGTCCTGAGTTCAATCCCCGGTACCGCAAAAATAAATAGATAGAGCTATCAAGGAAAAAAAAAAATCAATCCAGTTTGTTCTATCAATCATTTAAGGTATAGAGAAAAGGCGAGCTGAATTTGATCTTCAAGGAAACACTGGCCTGAATGCAATGAATGTATTCAACAAGCGACAACTCCCTTCAAATTCTCTATCCGCATAAACCCTATCAACTACCCAATGCTGTCTGTCACTATGTGTGTATGGTCTGCTGAGCATATAGGGGATGTTATTTGTTTAACCCGATAAGACTCTGGGATAAGGTAGCGGTTCTTCAAGTCTCTAAACTCATCCCCCAAGCCCCCACCAGGAGTCACCGCCGACCTCCACACTGTAGCATTGGGATCTTGGGTGTTCTGCTCAGCCCAGCATAGCAAACAGGCACCTACCTGATGCCGGAACCCCAGGATGTCTCTGGGGACCTCTGGGGAGAGGGACTGTCGCACAGACACAGGGTGTCACGGGCAGGGGAAACGCGGACTGGCTGCCCAGGGCACGACAGGTGGGCCAGCACCGCGGCCAGGGGCGGAAAACGGCAGAGGGGTGGCGGCGCGGACACTGTCACCTCCCGCTGTTTCCTGCCGGGCGGGCCTGGGCACCGGGTAAAACACACAACAGGAGCACTGGCCAGGCGACACAGCCTCCCGGGAAGTAAAGTTAGGGTCCGAGGCCGCGCCTCGGTGCGCCGGGCCCGCTGAGATCCCTGCCAGGCTTCGCGCTGTCACAGGCGGCAATGCCGCCAGCACGCTCCTGGAGCTCCGCGGCCCGGGAGCCGCCGTCAGCTCACCAGCCGAGTCCCTCAGTGCCTCGACTCCGCGGCCGCGACCTCCCCCGCCTTCCTTCCAGGCCGTATCGGGGTCCCGACCCCCAGCCCTCTGCGGTGCCGTCGGCACCCAGCTGCCGCCTTTACCTCCTCGGTAGCCGCCGCGAGCTCCCTCACCCGGAGACTCCCTTGTTGTCGCAGCCGCCGCCGCGCACTCCCCACCCCCGCCCCCTCAGGTAACCCAGGAAACCGGGAACACCACCAGTTCCTCCCCCTCCGCTAACCTAGGCCCTCCGCTCTGCGCCTGCGCCCCAAGTCCCGCCTCAGCGACCCGAGCCCCGCCCCTCTGGGTGGGCGGTGCCTTGGTCGCCGGCGTGACGTACGGCCCTTCCAGACCAATGGCGAGGATGCCTCCTCGGGAGACCCAGCCCAGCCCCACCTCTTCGGGCACAGCTGGCGCCTGCTTCTAAACTCTGAGAGTCAGCCTGCTGGAGCAGCATCGGGCACATGCGCAGTGTCGGCTTCCTCCGTCTAGCTGTCATTCTGCCCTGTTGCAGAGGTCCGGAGAGTGAATGCAGAAGAGGTACGAGAAGATAGGCAGGTTATCCTCCTTCGGAGGCTAGGAAGCCCTGCTTTCAAGAATAGTGTAGGCTTCTTCCAAAAACTGTAAAGGGACTTTCAAAATCACAGCATTAATTCATTGCAGATACATATTTGCCCCCTCAGCCCTGTGCAAGCACATTTGTATGTTGGGGACCCTGTGGCAGACAAACTTAGGCTTTGGAGTCTTCTCCCTGACCTCCCTGTGCACACTTTCTTTTAAAGTCCAGTTTTTGCAAATAAGCAAGGCAGTACAGCAAGAATCCCCTTCCCTCATGTCAAATCAGAATGATTTCACTCCCCGCCTTCTGTGTCTAATCATGATGGCCTGCTCAGAAGAAATCCTTGTAGAGTGGTTCGGCTGGAATTTGCTCAACTTGATATCCCCATTACCTCCTGCTCCTTAACTAGGAATCCCTACTAACCCTAGTATGTTGAGAATGGAGCCCCATCTCGTACTGGGGTCTTCTCTTTATTTATTCTCTTCTAGAATAAAATTTGTCTTCACCACTTTAGCTTTTGCCTAGCTCTGGTATTCTTCGATATTGCCTGCAAACTATTCCTTCCAACATACAGTCCTTTCAGAACATGAGAACCACTAGTTAAATACAAGCAAGTTTCAGCTGCAGCACAGACTGAAGTGCAGTGTGGGCCTAACAAAAGGCTCCTGTAGGCAATTTGCCATCCCAGAGGCTGCCTCTCTCACCTTCCAGTCACTGTGACAGTCCTTGCAGTGTGTCAGAGCAACTGGGAAAGACCCTGAACTATAGAGTATGTATTGTTCAGTAGTCTTTAAATCCTACCAAACAATGTAACCTACAAGCAAATAGTCTACAAATTGATAGGAGTTGCTATATAATCAACAATGCCAGTAACTTTTTACACAGAAATCAAGAAATAAAAATAATTCAGGATATTATGTCCAAAGGCTACATACCAAATGCAAATTCCTCATCTTCTATCTGAACCACTGAGAAGAAAACTAAAGAGTTGCCCATTGATGTGGTTTATAGCAGCTCTCTGGGAAAATTCCCCTCTTTAAAATAGCTTCCCTTTGACTTTGATGTTTACCCATTAGCAGTTAATATTTTTAGACAGAGGTTACCACTTCCTCTGCCAGCAGTCTTTTAAAATACAAAACTTGCAGTGATGAGCAACATACAAAGTCTCAAATAAATTAGTGAACGATAAGCCTCAGGGGGACTAGGCACTCGTTTAACAAATGTATAACGAGCGCCTGCCATATGCTAGATACACAGTACCAGGTATTAGGGATAATTTTTGTGTCTCTAAAAGAGAATAAGGAAAAAAAATTGAATCTCTTCTTAATTATACATCAGCTTTCACCCTGTAATCCTAAAAACTTTTTTTTAATGTATTCGGTACAGGGTCTCACTGCAGAGCTCCGACTCATGGTGATCCTCCTGTTTTCAGCCTCCCCAGCGCTGGGAATACAGGCATGCGCCACCACACCTGGTTTGGGTGGCTGACTCAGTGCGCCCAGGGACAGGGGCAGCACGGCACATGGCGCTAATGGTCCCTGTGCTTGCCTACACAGGCATTTAGTCTGTTGCACTTCCTTACTGGCCCTCTAAAAACCCTATTTTAATGAACAAAAAATGTCAAGTGACAAATTTTGTTTCCCTTGAATGGGAAGTTAACAGATGATCATGACTTCAGTAAAGCAAAAAGAATGAGACAGACTTTACATGACAATTGTGCACATTTGGCCCTCAAAGTATTTTTATTTTTACTTGTGACTGTTCTTTTTTCTGCCTATCATAAAGCATTTTAACCAAAATTATGCAGAATTACCAAAATTACAATATTGATTTAGTTCAATAGTATTTTAGAACATTAATGTGTTGTACACACATAAGATTAATTTTAGTTTAAAAGATTTCAAATTAACATATCTGTTAATTTATTAATTTGTTAACAAAAGGTATAATTAAAACACTGTAAGAAAGAAAAAGTAATAAATTTATAGAAAGAACTATTTATGTATATATAACATACTAGAAAGTTTTTAAATGATAAATTCTCCATATTATTTGGTTCTAACATTAAACTCTAAAATGAGATTGTAACATCAGTGTTTAAAAACATGCAGTAAAGTCAAATGTGATGGTGCACAGCTGTAATCCCAGTACTCAGGTAGGAGGATTCACTTGATGTTTGAAGGCAACCTATGCTACCAAGTGAGTTCAAGGCCAGCCTGAACTACATAGCAAAACTGTCTCAAAAAGACTAAAAAAGAAAAAAAAATAGTAAATGTAAATGTGCACAAAATTTCTTTTTTTTTTTCTTTTCTTTTTTTTTTTTCCCCCGGAAAGGGGGATTGAACTCAGGCCCTTGCACTTGCCAGGAAAGTGCTTATTTGAAGGCAACCTATGCTACCAAGTGAGTTCAA